TATATATATATATATATATATATATATATATATACATATATATATTCAAGCATGGTTAATTAAATCATTCAAAATGAAAGAGTTAGTTTTCAGTTAAAATCCCAGTTTTAATACAAAACATGTTAAGTGTACGGTTTGATTTCCTTAAAATGTGTTATTCTAGTTGTTTCCATGATTAGTAGAGATTTATAAAAAGTATTTTTTTTGTATTTTATATAATCTCACAATAATGCCACATTTATTGACGCTCCTAATATTCCTATAAAATAATCAAATATGTAAAGCTTTTCTACTTTGAGTGTCTCTTGAGTTTAGAAGAGTTTTTAGAAATTTCTAATTGAAAATCTATTACATTCCGTTTCCCTTTTGAATAAATATATTTCACTCTTGCCAACAGGCTTGGTGTGTGGCTATATTTACCCTCCTTCCCTGGCTTGGGAAAGAGGGTAAAAATCTTCAACCCCCACTGTTAGAGGAGTAAAGAAACCCATTTTCAAAAACTATTTCCTACAGTATCAGGCACCAAATAAAAAACAAAACACACACACACACAAAAAAAAAACAAGCTCAACCGGAAAAACTGAAAACTTCCAACACAGATTTATCTTGCATTTCATTCAGAGTCAAATTCTGCAGTTTCTGCTCATCACAATCTTCTCTTTCTGGTTCTTTGGGATACACTCAGTATTTGTCGTACTGTTACTGCACAAATAACACTTAGAAACAAGTGTGGAAGCAACAAATATATTAAAAAAATGGACCCTACAAGTTCTTCTGTTGGTTTATTCTTATTTTATTTTATTGTGAAGTTGTATGTTGATGGGGAGGGGATGAGTCGGTCTCCCTTCCCCATTGAGCCACATGCCAAGGGCCATTTAAAGCCTTTTGTGCTGGTGGACAGTGGAAAGAAGGCGGCCCACTGGCCCTCGATCAAAACCCGGGTGGGGTGGAGGTGGAGGGCATGTGAAGGTGGGTGTCAAAGGCAGGAGGATCGTTGGGGAGAATAATCAAAAAGCCGTCAGGCCTGTTTGTGGGGGATGACTGTGCTGCTCAACAGGAGGGACAGATTCAGGAATCCAAGTGTCGGTATTTTATCAGATCAGGAGTAAAAACAAAGCTGGAATCTTTGTCACAATTCCTGTATTTACTACCTGAAATTGCAAGAAAGACAGAACATGTAGTCTTTTGATGTGCTTTGTGGGTAATCTTCAACTAAATTAGACATGTTAGCTGTTGGTAATCATTACTTTTGAAGTAATGTCCAGAAACAAGAAAGCTTGAACTACGTGGGCCCAAAGAAGCGCCAATTAAGGATCAGTAAAGAGCATTGCAAAAGATGAATGACGTGAAGGTAACCAAGTGAAGAAAAGTTAAATCAAACTTCCTGTCTGCTTGAGGTATCATATTGGTAAAATTTAAAACGAACTTTTTCTCAGACAAAATAAGAAAGAAAGATCCTCTTGATCCTGCAATAATATAAGAAACTTATTATAGGAACTTTAGACAGGTTTCCCTAGTCGGTTACAGTTGGGAAAAATGCATTTTCCAAATTTTACAGTGGCAGTCTTATCAAAAAGGCAGAACTGACTCTCAAATTTCATAAAAATGATGAGGAACGAGGCTTATCTGCAGCACAGCACACTTGGTAACTCAATAAAAAGCGAGCAGGAGATGAACTAGATCAATATATTTCTTGTCACCACGCTTCCTTTTCATCACTCACTTTCCCCTCTCTGCTACGGCCTGGATCAGTCCTGTAAGCCGAGGTCACCTAAAACACATTTAAACACAAGATCTGAGACATCTGTGGGGGTTTCTGGCTAAATACTCACCCTCCCCACCTCACTGTACCGAGCTATTCGGCAGTCGGTCCCCTTCCCCCCTCTTTTGGACTCCCTGAGATGAGTGCTCTGTAGACCCCCTTTCTCTCCCTCTCAAACCCAGCCTGAAGTCTGCTATCTCTCTTGCTGTTTGCCTTTTGCATGACAATTATCCTCCCAAGTCCATGGCCCAGGACAATGCTTGTAAGAATGGAGTTTGATGTCTTTTAACCCATTGACTCTGTGGTTGTGGTCTTACAGAGGATCTCTAGTCATGAGCACTGATTCTCAGTGTAAACTGATATCAGAAAATTCAGCACGTCACTAATTGCAGCATTCAAATAGCGACATGCTGAACTTTCTGCTGAATGTTATATAAAAAAGAGATTGGGTGGCAGGGGGGGGAAACGAAACATTTTGCATGCTTTTTAAAATTGGTTTTCAAATAAAACCTGTCAAGTGTGACAGACATTTGTATTCAGCCCAAACTGAGTAAACACTTTGAGGAACAGCCTTTTGCTCCAGTTACAGCTGCACTCTCTTGAAACACGTCTCTACCAGCTTTACACATCTACAGACTGAAAATTGGACCCATTCCTGGCTCAAACCCAGAGTGGATGGAGAGAATCTCTCTATCTATTTTAACGTTGTTCATATAAATATGTTTTGATTGAAACCATTCCACTGAGTTTATGGTTGTTATCCACGGCCTGCACCCCATTTTAAAACCTGCAGACTCAAATCTGCCTTTGACCCATCTTAATATCAACCTTGAAGAAAAAGATTTTCTCTCTGCAAGATGCTGCCATCACCATGTTGTAGAAGTTCATTCATTTTTTGTCTCTGTACACCACAAAGGTCCGTTAGCCAGCTTCAGGACTCTCCCACCCAAACACAAAGGATCTAAAATAACTTCATTTATTTTCATGTAGCTGAGGAGAATTGAAAGGAGGTGGTTTTGAGGTAACATTACAGGACAACTGTAGAAGGAAACCTCCTTGAGGCTGCAAAATATTCCAGCAGGGCAGACTTAACTATAAAATTCCAAATGCCCAAATAAAGGAGTTTAAAATAAAGATAAGACGACTAAAAAGAAGACAGAGAAGGAAAAATTTCAAACCATCTCTTGCTTTGATCAGAATGGGACAGAGATTTAAAGAGGAGTAACAAAAGCAAATGAGGTGGATTAGCAGTGCTTTCCAAAAACTGATGTCATTAAAGATTAAAGCTGTGGAATATTGTCTATGCTGCCCACAAGTTGTGTGGTTAGCATATCAGGACAGTCATACGAGTTTCGTACAGAAAGCGTCTCCAGTCAGAGGTATCTTCAGGTTGGTTGTAAGACTGACTGCTAACGAGATCTGTCCGGCCCTCAGAAACAGTCTTTGAAGATGATTCGATAAGTTTTGACAACATTCCATTTTCCCTTGTGATAAAAAAAAAAAAAGTTTTTAATTGAACTAAGTTGAATTGAGTAATGGGGTGGCTCAAATCAAACCACAATATTATAGTAGACTGGCCTAGTCAAAGACGTCTACAAAGTGTGAATCTGTAGCTTAGATTTGTTTTTCACACTGTATCATCTTCCTTCTAATTCAACATGATGCACTGCTTTGGATTAGTCTGACATAGAATGCTATTCATGTGCAAAGAGCTTCATTTGGGGGATGAACAAAGGTTTAAGTTTTTTTTTCTTAACCCTTTCATGCATGAATTATGATCCCTTGTGTCAGGTTTTTTTTCTCAAATTTTTCTTTTGATTTTCTTAAGGCATAAAAAAGGTAGAAAAAACATTTTTGTAAAAAAAAAAAGTTTTATTTTTTTTTACTTTTTTTTGGGTGATCAATTGTAATTTTATCCAAATACAAAGTTGTTATTTGAAAAATAGATCATTAGTGTTGTTTTTTAGGGGTTATCTGATGTCACAATATTTTTTTTACTTGCAAGAGTGGAAGGAGGAACCAGGTCAATTGGTTCCTCTGTCGGCCATATTGGATTTAACAAAACTAATTTCTTGCATTTGCAGCTGTTGGCCAGTAGTTGATGGTCTATTTTATGATGCATTAGTGTCCACTTCAGTGGTCTGTGTGCATTTATAACATAAAAATCCACAAGAAGCACAAGAAAGGGGCTTTTAGATGGCTGTCCACTGTAGTGACCACTATGCATGAAAGGGTTAATTTCTTAGCACTGTTTCATTTGGACTTTCACATTCCACAGTCACACATCACTTCTTTAAAAGCCACAGTGAAATGTAAAAATGCGGAATTTTATCCCACATGCATCAAGCTCCAGACTCACGTACTGTCACCAGGAGACATTCCGGACAGTGGGGTTATTGCACCTGTAGACAGCTTGGTTCTCAGACCAGTTTTGGAGCTTTAGGCCAAATAACACCGATACCACGTACAGAACCAGGGCGAAACTGCTGGCTCGAGTTTGTTTCAGATGACCGAGGGTGTGTGTGCGTGTGTGTGTGTGTGAGAGAGAAAGAGAGAGAGAGGTGATCGGTGTGGGGTGGAATCAAAGGGTTGAGACTTATTGTTCTAATGTGAAAAGGAGCTAATGGTCGACCATCGAAACTCGGGATCTGAAATCAACGGGGTGCCCCGGGGCCACGAAGCACAATGGCACCCCCCCTCCTTCCCCGCAGTGCGTCTTCCTGCCGCAATCTGCGGCCAATGACTCGCGCTGGGGGGAGCACCATCTGCAGCGATGGTCCGGCCATCCAGGCCCCTGACTGAGCACCGATCCAAGGTGAATAAGAACTCACCTGAATGAACGACCCATCCATTGGTCTACCACATTACCAATGCAACGACTAAAATATCGACTGCAGTTTAAGAGAAATATTAAATCTTCAAAAAAAAAAAACAAACAAAAAAAAAACGAGACCAATAGTTGTTGCAAATTTAAATGCAAATTCCTACTGCAGTTTGTATAAAACACATGCATAAAAAATATTCATCCAATTTAAAACAAGCTTATCAAAGCAACATCCTCCTAAACTAATGGCCTAAGTAATCATCTTTTGGAAAGAAAGAGGTGGCGACTGTTGTTTTCCCTTTTCTTCTTTCTTTCTTTTTCTTTTCTTCCCCCCCCCCCAAAAAAAAAAAATATTATTATTTTTTATTTTATTTTTATTTTTTTCAAAAATACGTCTTAGGCCATTATTTCAGGAGGTTGACGATGAGTGAAATGTGTTCACGGACCACAGCTTTGAATGTTAACATCCTACCTACAGTCACCAAAATGTGCCATTGTTTGTTTCTAATTAAATGTGTCCCCGAGTAATTAAGTTAGCATGTTTGATAACTGTTCCAGCTTAGGCCCACAGGGTTATCTTTTTTTAACAGATTAATGCAGAGCAAAGCGAAGTATTTTTACAAGGATTATAATATCAAAGCCATTTCCGTAAGAAAGCATAATTTAAACAAATATAGCTTTATAATTCATGAATGAGGAGAACAGTATGGTGTTACAGTATGTATTTATAGTGGAGGTGACCCGTGTCTGCTTAGCATTGTAAATCCGCTTATTTCCCCCCTGTTTTCGGCTGCATCAACTATGTTTCGCCTTAGTGCATCTTAGATTTGCTTCAGTTTTGCAAAATTGGCGAAGATTCTGTGGAAAATGAACCCCGAAGTTGCCGAAAGACACGCCCACTTCTCTGCGGAAGAATCAAGGTCATTCACGAATGTCCCATCAGCTGTGCGTAATTGTCCGCACCAGCCAATGGGCGCACAGTACGCCGATCTCCATCTCCCGCAGCCGTGATAAGGAAAACCTGTGGAGCCACCGCAAGGAATGAACATTTCAGTTGAGAGGTGGTTGTGAACACAGGGGTCTGAGGGAGGAGGCCAAAGAGAGATGACAATGTTATCGTTTAGGAAACCGATGCCTTCTTAACATGTTTCTGTCGTCTTAGATTTTTCTTTTCTTTTTTCTTTAGATTACATCAGATGGGTAGCTTTCAATCGAGCTATTTCTAACTTTTTGAAAATTATTTATATAATTTGAGAGTTACTTGTAAGAAAGATTTTACACTCCCACGAAGATGTCTGACAGATCGCAGACCCCGGAGATCCAAAGTCGACCTTACGACTTCAGTCGGGCTGGCACTTGCAACAATCAGGTTTTGGGTCAGGAAAGCATGGGCAACTCTTCGTGCTTCCAGTTTCCTCACCCGGTTTTGCACGACCCGAGTCTGCTTTACAGCAAGCCAGCCTACGGAGGGATCACACCCGCGCCAACCCAAACGTTTCTCCCGTTTCCACACGTCGCCGGTGACTACAGAGGATCCGATCTGCAGGCTGGGGACTTCGGGCAACCAAAGCATTGGTATCCCTTCGCTGCACCCGAGTACACTGGCCAGGTACCCGGCGTGATTGCGGCCACCCAGCCAACAAACGGGAGCCCCCAGATAGCCGAGACTCGGGAGCAAATCAGATTGCCCGAGATCAAGACTGAGAAGGACACTGGAAATGATTATCCGACCGAAATGAAGGTTCAACAGTATCCGATTCCTGCACCTTCCACAAGCATGACCCATGGAGTCTTCTGCCCACCGACTTGGAACCCCTCCTTCTGGCCCGGGGTCACTCACATCACCCAACCAGGAAGCAATAACCAAAACCCCTCAGCGTCGTCGACATCGTCCCCGTCAACGTCCCCTTCACCTCCAAGCAATGGGACCCAGGGAAACGCGTTTTTCAGCGCAAACGCGAACCAGGCTCCGTCAGAGCCCCAGGCACAGAACACGGCTCCCAACACGCGGAGCAGCGGATCCTCAAGTGGGGGTTGCAGCGACTCTGAAGAGGTAAGTTAAGATGCGCCATAACTGTCTTTTTAATTTGAAACCCAAAGTAAATGTTTACTCGGACTAATGCAATCTAAAAATATTCCTGTTCTCAGGAGAACCTCACCACTGAAGAACTGGAGCAATTTGCCAAAGAGTTGAAACACAAACGGATTACTTTGGGGTTCACTCAGGCAGATGTTGGCCTAGCTCTTGGTAACCTTTACGGTAGGCTTCCATGAATTGCTTTTCTCCAGAATTTAATTACTGCATGATGCATGTTTATCTTTGAACAGTTCTGTCAAATCTGAATGCTGACTTTTTAGAGACTGACTAACTTCATGTCTTGGTCAATGTTCCAACTGCTTTAGAAACTCAAAACTTTCCTAGAAAAAAAGTTAAATTTGTCTTTGTCAAATAGGCAAAATGTTCAGCCAGACAACCATTTGCCGCTTTGAGGCTCTGCAGCTGAGCTTCAAGAACATGTGCAAGCTGAAGCCCCTTCTGCAGAGATGGCTGGATGAGGCAGAAACTTCGGAAAATCCTCAGGAGGTAAGTACAGCTTGCAACATCTGCCAACTAGTTTGCAAGAAAACAAAAGCTGCATCCATGGCTTGATGGCGCTGGTCTTTTCAGGCTTACAGTAGTTAAACGTCCTGCTGAGCAAACATGAATCAAAGCCATCTGCTCTTGTGATGCGCCACCTAGTGGGAAACCCATCTGGTTGGTGATCACATGAATCCTGAAGTAGGCCACATGGGTTTCCAGTCGAAGTCCAGTCCTGGAGAGCTGCTGTCCTATTTTGTTTTAGGTGTATTGGTGAAGGGATGTATCCTGAAAAAGCGTAAGCTAGTTGAAGTAAAATTCTTTCAGGCTTTAATTTTTCAAATACAGCTGTAATTATCAGTATTTTTTTTTATTCATTTATTTTTTCCCAGATGTACAAGATTGAGCGAGTGTTTGTCGACACCAGAAAGAGAAAGCGGAGGACCAGTCTGGAGGGAGCGGTCCGGTCTGCGTTGGAGGCCTACTTCATCAAATGTCCCAAGCCCAACACTCAAGAAATAACCCAAATCTCAGATGATCTGGGCCTGGAAAGAGATGTAAGTGTATAAAAATGTCAGTAATCTTTTAATTAATGTTTTCTGGAGTTGGCAGGTTGTGTTTTTGATGATTTGCTGTGTGTGGCAGGTGGTGCGCGTTTGGTTCTGCAATCGAAGACAGAAGGGGAAGCGTCTGGCCCTGCCGCTGGACGAGGAGTGTGAAGGCCAGTACTATGAGCAGAACCCTTCACCGTTGAACATGGCCCCTAACCCCGTCCAAGGCCAAGCCTACCCATCCTCCAGCTACACTGGAGCACCTCCTCCAACCCTCTACATGCCCCCGCTTCACCGACCGGATGTTCTGAAACATGCTCTGCACCCTGGATTGGTTGGTCACCTGACTGGTTAAACTGGTGGGTAGTCTCCCTACCAGACTACAGCTTTTCTTCAAGCATCCATCTACACCCAACCTGAGCTGAAAATGGGATCTGATTCCATATCGACTTGATGTGAAACAAGACAAATATCAAGTGGGAGAGGGCTGTTTCTTTTTGACCATTAAAAAAAAAGACAATAAGCCTTAATCAGCGTTTGTAAATCGGTGCCTTTCTTTTCTTGCCTTGTGGATTTTTTAAACCATCAGTGTTTTGCAGATTTGTACTTTGTTTTCTGATATGGAGGTAAAGTTATAAGGTTAGACTTTTAATACTGCTGAACCCCAGAGTAGGCTTGACCACAAATTATTCAGTCATGTCTATTTGTGCAATACTTTATCGGAAACTGAAAGCTGTTGGTAACATTAAACTTAGATTTTTTTTTTGTATTTGCACAAACTTGTAATCATCACTATCGCCATAAAAAATGGGTTTATGGTTTCATGCATTGTAATTTAAAATCAAGAAGATTTTAGAAGTGAACATGAGTGTTTCATTGGTATTGGCTGCTAATTTTTTTTTTTTTTTTTTTTTTTTTTTTTTTTTTTTTACAAGCTTCTTATTGTAACTTTGATTTTTAGAGTTCTGTGNTTAAACACCCCAAGACTTTTTGGAAAAAGGGTTTTAACCCTTTAAAAAAAAAAAGAAAAAGGAAGAAAAAAAAAAAAAAAAAAAAAAAAAAAAAAGCTTTAAAAATTTTCACCTTCAGTGTTGAGCAAGTTGTAGCCTCATTAGAATGAGTAAAAACATATGTGGTGAGAGCCAAAGTGCCACACAACATATGAATCATTAGTTAATTTATTTATATAATTGCAAATTAATTTAGCAAGTAAATAAAAAAAAAATATATGTGTGGTTTCAGTCAATTAACTTTGCTAATAATTAAATTAACAATTAAAATTAAACTAAACAAACCCACATTTTAAAACGTGTGAAATTCACCCGTCCGTCTATTATGCTATTATACCTGGTGGAGTTGCGAGGGGTCCTGGCGCCTCTGTCCAGAGGCGGGGTAAACCCTGGACAGGTTGCCAGTCCATTGCAGGGCGTGTGCAAAATTCATTATTTGAAATTGGACTGGAAACCACATCCAATATTTTATTATCTCTTTCATTATCATGGTCCCTGAGCCGCAATGTGTCATAAAATATTGCTGTAGCTGGTCAACACTAACAAATAATATCTGGCAAATAAGACAATATTATCTAAAAAGTAGGTTCATACTGTGTTGCAATTATGAAACAATGATAAGAAATAATTTTAAAAAAGCATATATGTTGTAAATTTAATAAATATTTATCAATATTTCTTTAGTCAGTTATCTGTACATTTCCTTTGCATTTGAGTTAATTAATAGTTAATTTAAATTAATTAATGCCTAATTTTATTCATCAAATTATGGTTCCATGAACTTTAACACTTCTGCATGTTTTTGTATCAGGACAGATAAAAATGCCAACGTTCTGCTGACAATTTGCATTCATATATGATGCACATGTGAAGCCCTCTGATTCTGGTGGTTAAATTTAGCTGCTTCGCCACGTTTCATGCCAGCTGCATTCAAAAGAGAACAGTCTACGCTGGGTTCATTCTCCATCAGTGGTGCGTTTATGCACAACTCTGAAGATGCTTTAAAGTCTCTTTTTACAGTTGTACTTAGTGTCAAAGGCTTCCACACTTTGGTAGTATCACTGTAAATGTTTAGTTAGTTCAGTGACTTCTGCTTTGCGTGAGCAACTGTTCTGTTTTCTAATTTAGTGTCGTTTTCATCTTTATGACAGTGGTGTAATTCTTTAGGCTTTCACGTCGTTTATTCTAGTCAGGTTGAGTAAGAGTCAGATCAGCTTAAGAATTAAAAAATAGATGCTGGTTTATCTTGGGTGTGGTTTGGCTTTGGTTACTGATTGTTGTCTTATTCCATCTGCAGCTTCCGCTCTTTTTCCTGTTACCTTTTTGATGTCAGTATAACTTCTTCTTGAAGAAACTGATATGTTTTTATTTAGCATATTGTAATTTGAACTCATTTGGGACAGAAATCAAAATGAGTGAAACTGGTATAATAGTTAGCAAAGTTATAGCACGATTAGAGCTTTAGCTTTTCAGCAATAATGGTTTTATTGTTAGTTCCAAATAACCAACTCATATCTGCTTTGAATTACCCATTTTATGTATAATACATATGTAAAAATTATCTTTTTCATTTCTCTCACATTTAGAAATAATTATGGTGATCCCGACTAACCTAAAACCTAGATTTTTTTTCACCCAATTCAATGTCAGACACTAGGAAAAAAGAAAGAGTTAATGTTTCATACAGCATGTGAACATACAAATATTTACGTACGGGACCAAGAGAAAATGATTTACATTGACAGATTGCTTGAAAGTAAAATTGTGCATTGAAGTTTAAATCTAAGGAGTTGAATTCAGCCACGCAGAGTTCTTAAAGGTGATTAATTAATCTAATACTTGCTAACATATTATTACAGATTAAACATATTGACATATTCAACATTAAAGGTTTAATATTAATGAACATAGATATTTTATTTTGTGAATATATGACGAATCACGTATAAACATACAGTAGCTGCAGGGTGTTGGCCATAGCAGCTTCTGCTGCTTGCATGAGTAAGCAACCCATGGACGTAACCTCCGCTATTATTGCTTAAGATTTTAATGTCTTTGCTTGTGAAAGGCGTTGAAAGTTGTACCTCAGCAAGTATGGGAAACTGAATTATCACAGACACTCATCTTTTTTTTCTTGGTTCTAAATTTAACAGGAGAAGCTGTGATGTGGTCAGATCACAAGTATCTCATGTTATCTCTGTCAAACGACTGTGGAAGTTCAGTTCTGTTTCTACCGGTAGACAGAAAAAATACACAAAGTCACATCATAGGTAACACAACCAAACTTTTATAATTGAGCCAAGATATTTTTGCAAATGAAAATGAAAGAAAAATAGCAGCGAGTAATTTACAAATACAAATATACTCCTGAAAGGTTTGTATTTTCCATCAAATAGACTTCTTCACTTTAATTTTATTGTAAAGTAATCCTTTTTATATAGGACTACCGTTTCAAATGCTGACACAAAGGATCATCATTCATGCATGAAAGGGTTAAAAAATCCCCATTTATATGATTACGCTTACTATTGTTCACATCTGCACAGGTGCAGTCTTTCATATTCAGGGCATCCAAATTTGGTAGTATTTCCTCTTTATTAGCTGGTTTCCGTCACATCAAAGTCTTGCATGGCAGCTCCGTTAGTGAAGAATCAGAATAGAGAAACTTATTTTTCACTTGGTTGTTCGAAGTGCTTTTCAGGTCTACACTACACACTATCTTTACCTTTATGTATAAAATCTTGTCAATATTCCTGAATTGATTTTTTTTCTTTTTCTCCACATGACACAGACTGAAGTGAGACTAACTTAAACATACCTTAGTTGGGTTTTGGCAAGTATCAGCAATTTGACTCTGTTTGTTTCCCAAGGAAGACATTTTTCTTGTTGGGTTAAAGTCAATATAGTGTAGGGCTAAACTGTTGATAATGTTTTGGTCTAACTTATTAA